TGGAGCTTCGCAAAAGATGTAGGGTTTCAGGGAGCATACCGGGGGACCGGTGAAACTGGAGACAATATCAACAAATACGGCCTTGTATTTTTAGGTTGTGATTATAAAGCTCATTTCACAGTTTAATACTCCGGGGAAGCCAAACAAACATGGTTGTATAAAGAAACCAGCATCCAGTATTGGATCAAATCTCTCCTTCTCCCAAATGTCCTGGACATACAAAAAAATATGCACATGCACTATATATACTTAGCACTGAGCCTATGATTTCAATACCACACACTGACGTACAACAGGTTCTCTTTTAGCAGAGGAGTGATTCCTGTTATTTACTTAATTCATGCTATTCTGAGGAAAATGAAGACACATAATTAATTACAGATAAACTAGATCAGTGAATTTTTTAATGGATAATTTTCTTTTCATATTTATACTTTTATTTGGTTTATTAAAAAGTCCTTTCATATATCATGAAATACTCCTTTGAAAAAATCTAAATAAATACGAGAAAAATAAGTGTTGTACATATCCAGTTCCTTATTTAATACTGCCAGAAAACAATTATTAATACTTTTTTTACTCTTTTTATTGGCCTCTTCATTCATCTAATAGAAGCAATTCAGTTTGAAATTATAGTTTTACATCAGCAAAAAACAAACAAAAGAAAAAAAAAACTAGGCTATTTCTTTAAAACAAAAATGATTTTTTTTTTTAGATCGGAAAACCGTGTATGGTGCGTTAAAAAGGCATGACCATTTGATGCATTTTTGTCTGTCTGATTATCGGTACTTTGCTGGCCCCTGCTGACCAAACAGAACAGAACATTTCCACTTCTGATACCTTCAGTTAAAAAAACAAAAATGTGGAAGCAGCATAGCAGATATCATGTAAAATAGGCTGTCAAGTGATAAACTGTACTTTATTAGGCTATGATACACCTAAAGATAAACTTCGCATGCCCTCTAATTTGTTTAAATTCATCTTGTTGTATATACTCTTGTCTGGCACATCTGGTGTGGAGCATGCACAGTTTTGTTATACATGTTCAAGATCAATAAAAGGCTATTTTATTTTATCCCAATCTATTTAACATTTGCACATTTACCTTAGTTGGTTAATATTTTATTGACTAATTATTTAATTTTGCTTCTCAAAACTGTTACAAATAGCTAAAACACACATAAGAACATAAATTTTATGTTGTTTATGTTTATGTTTTAACATGAATTAAGTTTTTTTGTGCTTTGACCAATGGCAGCTAGTAGCTTAGAATTAAAGTAAAAAAAAAAAAAAAAGTATTAAGACATTTAAATTGATTAAATTAATATTTTTTTTTTAAAAAAAGTCTTAAATTACTTGAGATGTTGTATCCAGAATTGGAGAGCATTTGTTTCACTAATAGCAGTGCTCTTTTCAAACAAGCTAATTGGCTAACTTTTTGTCTTATCAGCTAGCAGTGCTAAACCAAGGTGTAAACACAATAATATTAGAGCAGTGCAATTCAAATGTTTTTATTTAAAAAATAAAAATAAGACTGTGCCACAAAGCAAAATTGAGCTATTTATGGTTTGCAGGTTTTTTTTCTTCTGCAGATATATCAAGAGGCCTGATTTATCAGCTAGCTTAATTAGAAGAACAAACAAAAGCCTGTTAACAAGAATTGAAAGCATATCATTGCAGGTTTAAATAAATTAGCACTTTATTGTTATTAAAGGAGATAGTGTTTCTTACCATGGCCTGGCCATCTACACATGGAGTGTAAATGTAGGTGTAATTGTAGTGTTGAGTTTGGCCAAAAGTTTCCGTTACCACTGTAAATTACTGCTGCCTTATACATACGGAGCTTGATTGTTGATTTGTATCCATTGTTGACATCAATGCATTCTCAAGCCTTTTATTTATAGGTTTAACAATCCCACCTAGATGCCAAACACCTGAAGCTAATACTAAGTTTAAAACAAAATCCAACTCTTCAGCCTCAAACAGCTCTTTGAAGGGCTAACAACAACAACAACAACAACAACAACAACAACAACAA